CCCGGCACCTGTCCGACAGTCTGTGGGTCCTCGTGAGACTCAGAGCTTCACTTCTAACCAAAGGAGCACCGGACGTCGAATTGGGCTCAGGGGGGTGAAGTCTGGCGGTAGCTGCGAAGCCAGCACTAGAGCCCCAAGGAGCTTCAGGCAACCTGTCCCTCATGTTCCCGAGGCCGTGAGTAGTCTGGCTGCCCCCCCCCCCCCCCCCACCCATCCTGCACGAGTCGTGCCCCGATGATGACGAACGGCCCCGAGGGTAACGGTGTGGACGTGCAGGAGAAGCGCCGGCCGGCAAAAAAGTTCGCTGCCTCCTACGGGGTCCTCCTGCGGCGAGTGTGGACATTCCTGCGGCACGGGGAGCGCACTGGGCTGGACCGGCGGCCGTCCGCCGCCTGCCTGCTAGCCAGCGAGGCCTGAGCAGGAAGTCTCTGGGCGCTCTGTGGCGGTGCCCCCGTCTGTCTGACCTCTGTCTGGCAGGACAAGGACAAGCCCATAAAAAATAAACAAGGAACAGGAGGCATGTTTTCACATCGACACTGACTCAGACCCGAAGCAACAGGTGGAGGAATTGTGCGGAGTTTTCCTCATATTCCGGTTATCCCAGTGATCGGAGGACATTAAGGGCAATGATCTCCGTATTCCTGCCATGTCGACATGACTTCCTGGATCTGTTTCACTGAGTCAGACACCTCCTGCTGAGTCCTTTCACGTTTTTTTCAAGGAAAGACTCGGTCATGCTGTGAAGGATCTCGACATCAGCCCCCCCCGGTGCCGATGGGACCTCTGTGACCCCCCGTGACCTCCGGCGCCCGATGGCGGTGACACAGCTTGAACTGGAGTTGCGTTATGAGGGCCGGCGGCTACGTGCATTCACCTGCCGGCTCACGCGCTGCGCCCATGGCTTCCTGCCTGAGACGTCGGGTCAGATCGCCTCCCAGGTGTTGCTGCCATACCTGGTCGCCGGCCTGGGCATGGTGGCGGCTGGCGTGGTCATGGACACAGCGCAAGTAGGGGCGCTTGATGCGCATCTGTGTCCGTGTGTATGTGTCTTTAAATGAGCTCTGCCAGGCTGGGTCTGCATGTGCAGGCTTTATACAGGGGGATGTTTAGTGGGGCACCATGCTTTTAAGGGTATTCACTGAATAGGCGAATGTGGAAATTGAATGGAGGGAAGTTCAGGGGACCTCTGCCATATTGGGGGAAAATAATAATGACAAATGGAAAAAGCTTGGACTGAGGTTAGATGTGTTGTTAAAGGTTGTATTTCCGGTCAATGGGCAGGATTCGTAGATGTTATTTTACAGAAGTATCCTTCAATATCTACCCTAACTTCCAACCCTAACATAATATCTAGAAATATTTTTTTTTCTGTTCCACAAATTGGTACATTGTTTTTTTGTCACTTTTTTGTTTCCCCCTCGAGCTCTAAAGCCCTTGGCTGCAGCCTGATTGATAGGAAGTGATTAAATGTTAATGAGCAAATGCCTCCCACCTGGCCCTCATCTGACTGGCTGTCAGTGAGGTGTCCTCCGAGCTGTGAAAACTGCTGCGTCATGAGCAGGCTTGGGGTGGGGGTGGGGGGTTCTGCATCTCCCCCCCCCCCCCATACCTCTATCCCAAGCTGCTCAGTATGGATGAATCATTCTTAGCTCAGCCTGTAAACCAGGTCTGAATACTGGAGGTCACACCGTCTATAAAATAACTCCTGTATGTCATCTCTTTCCTTCCCTATCTTCTTGTCCTCCTTCTCTGTGGCTCCCTGTGACATGCTGTTAAAACTAATGGCACAATACCACTTGTTATATTGCACTGGAAAATCTTTTAAGTACATATACCAGAATTGGAAAGCATAAAACATTTCAGTCATGATATCAGCTCATTTAACGTAGGACACAGTCAGCAGCCAGGATGAAGCCAGAACATACCCAGAACCCAGCCAGGACACAGGTAGGAAGTAGCCAGGACGCAGCCGGAACATACGCAGAACCTAGCCAGAACAAAGGCAAGACATTGACAGGACACAGGCAGGACATGGACTAGACAGGACATAGACAGCACATAGTCAGCCTGCAGTCAAGACACAGACAGGACATAGACAGCATGCAGTCAGGACATAGACGGGACATTGGCAGGACATAGTCAGCATGCAGCCGGAACATAGACAGGACATAGGCAGCATGCAATAAGAATGTAGAAAGGACATTGACAGAGCACAGAGAGCACGCAGTCAGGACACAGCCAGGACATAGACAGCATGCAGCCAGGACATAGACAGGACATAGATAGCATGCAGTCAGTACATACACAGGACAGAGACATCATGCAGTCAGGACATACACAGGGCACAGACAGAACATAAGATGCAGACAGGACATAGACAGGACATGGCCAGGACAGAGACCAAACACAGAAAGCACACAGCCAGGGAGCAGCCAGCGGCCACAGCTCCCAGGCCTCTAGCCACTGTGGGAGCTGTTTAATTCATGCTGGTTATTTTCACAGTCCCCTTTCTGCCTGAGTCCCTTCCTCCTTGGTTATTCATGGATGGGGGAGTTTGGGAATTAGGAGGAGGGTGACCGTGTCCGGTGACAGTTCAGGTTGGCGGCTAGGACAAATGGGGGGTACAGTCCCCCCTGTTCTCTCTCAGGGGAGAGGAAGACCTGGAGCTATGTCCAGTGTCCTGGGAAAACTTTGTGATGATGTGTGTCTGACAAGTTCCAGTAATTTAGCAGCAAATGGGGAAGGCAGAGCTGAGGATAGCTAAAAATACCCTACATCTTACACATTTCTCAACTTTTAGCATTTATAAAAATGATGTGTTCAAGAATGTTATTAGTCTATTTTTTATATATATAAATTAATCATGCAACTGGCAGTCTGGTGCTTCAGGGCTCACTCTAGTCCCAAGTATTCTGGCTGTTGTACCCTTGAATTTCTGCAGAGAAAGTATCCCTAAGTAATCTGTAAGTTTCCTGAGCGTCATCAGAGCAGCTGAAAGCAATTTAGCTATTAATAAACAGCCGGTCAGTGTAAATAAAATGATTAGAGTCTGAAAAGAGGGTGTTTCTCAACATGGATGGGATAGGGCAGGGCTACAGAGAGGAATTTTTTTTTAAACTAAAAATATATTGGAGAATTGTCCTTATTTGTGTGTGAAAGCTGTCATATAGTTACAGTCAAATGTCAGGCAAATGGACCCTAAACACACACAATTTTGGATGGGCTAAATGCTGCTAAGGTGACTGTCATCATTTTTAGTGCAGTACCATGGGATTGAGCTCAACCTTAACTTGCATGGGTACCTCACACTGCTCTGTCTCCCCCCGCAGCACTGGGACGTGTTTAAGACCATCTCTGAGGTGTTCATCTTGGTGCCAGCACTGGTGGGGCTGAAGGGGAACCTGGAGATGACGCTGGCGTCGAGACTGTCCACAGCAGTGAGCATGAGGCCGCCGTGTGACACAGGATGCTTAGTGCAGTGGCAGCAGTAACAGCCCTACACAATTCCCCTGTCTCGCAGGCCAACGTAGGGCAGATGGACGACCCCCAGGAGCAGAGGAAGATGGTGTGCAGTAACCTTGCTCTTGTCCAGGTAGCTTCACTCAGACACAGACACACACAAACATGCACACACACGCCAGTGTAGATGCATCAAAACTTTGTTTCCTCAATAATTCACCATTAATTCACCCCATTGTCTGCAGTCTGTGCGCCCTGGTGCTCAGACAGTGAATCGATGTTGTCCGCAAGCCATCGCTTCCTCGTTCCTGTCCCGTTCGGGCCCTGAGCATAAGCGTTAATTATACTCCGTCTGGCAGGAGATTTAGGAGACCTGGAGTTCGATCGAACTCCACGGCGCTACCACGCACAGCAGAGCGACATGTGGCCCGCTAGAGCCCTGGGATCGAGGCAATAAAAAGATGAACTGCTCCATTATAGCATGCAGCTGAAGGTGGGATGGTAGTGTCCACAGAGAGATGGAAGGGGACATCAGGACAGGGTCAAAGGTCAAGGGTCGTCCTATATCGTTCATGTCTGTAAATGGTCCCCCAAAAAGTTGTCCATTTGTGTGTGTGTGTGTGTATATATATATATGTGTGTGTGTTTAAGTTTGTATAATATATAATATTATATGTTTGTGTCTATATATATATATGTGTGTGTGTGTGTGTGTGTGTATTAGGCAGCTGCACAGTCTAAACTGCGCATTTTAAATGCTCTTCTGTTAATCTCAGTGTGTGTTACACCATCACACTGTAAATGCCTGTCTAAATTCCCGTGATGATTTTTACCATCCTGTAACGGGGTCTTGCCAAGGCCAAAGACTTGGCTGGAGATGTGCGTCTAATACAGCAGTTGACTTTATAGGACAACACTTAATTCCTTAAAGCTGGTCGATTCATTCTGCCGTAACTGAAGACGAGGCTTTTTATCCAGTCCTAAAGCTGGCTCATGCTTAAACCTAAAGATAACCATTTGTTTGTCAGAAATTCATCTCAGAAAAGAAACGTTACAGAGCCATAGCAGGATGCTGCTGATTAACAATTATTTTCGGCTCCTATCAAGGGTTTAAAGTTTATCTCCTGCTGTTGTCTCACGCAGCTGTTTTTTTTTTTTTTTAACTACTCTTCCAGACCAGTATTTTCTTGTGCCATTTTAAATTTTTGCGGTCATTTCTGTACCATATGCTCAGCAGTGCTGGTTCAGGAGTTCGGCCTGAATCCATGGCTGCAGGTCATCAGGCTGTAGTTCATCAGACCAGGGCCAGTCCAAGGGATAAGCAAGCGAAGTGGCTGCTTAGAACCCGGCAGCCACCAGGGGGCCCCCCGTCCGATCAGCCAGTCAGAATGGGAAGGCAGATGGCAAATGAGGCTTAATCAGATTTCGCTAAGGGTCTCAAAACGGGTTGGACCAGTCCGACATCCAAAGATGGAGAGGAGTCTGGCATTGGGAGGACCAGCATTTTCTGTAGCCTGCCCTGGTCTCTGTCCTCCACCCAGGTGCAGGCTACTGCTGTTGGCTTTCTGGCGGCCATGACGGCTGCAGCGCTTGGAGCGGTCTCCCGCGGACAGGTGGCGCTGGACAATGCCATCTTGCTGTGTGCGAGTAGCGTGACCACCGCATTCACAGCAGCGCTCTTGCTGGGTAAGCTCGCACAAAGCCCCGCCCCCATCCCATCAGGGTCAGACCACCCACTTCCTGTTCCTAACTAGCTGATTGTTCATTAAAAAAGCTTCCTGCATGCAGCTTTTATCAGAGCGTTCAGGAAGACACCCTGTTGATTTCAGTGGAAAACCCTCAACAAAAAAAAAGTTGCCATAATTTGCATATTAAAAAATGATTTAAAAGTGAAAAAATCCATCCATCCATTCATTTTCTAATGCCAGACATAAAATTGTACATAAACGATAAAAAATAAAATGTAATTTGCTGTGGACAAAAGCCTCTACAAAATGAATGTAAATGAAAGAAAAATGACATCCTTATTAAAAAAGGATATTAAACAGGGGCAGGGGAAGCTCATATTAGCTAAAAGCTGACGTCCCAGGCTTTAGCCACATGCTGTTTGATGATGTGAGTGACCCAGCGGAAATGCGTCTAACGGCTGTTTTATTAAGATGGAACGCAGACCGTGGGCACTGCCAACACAGCGACCCGAGCTCTGGAAGGTCGCCGATGTCCACTCAGATAGTCACTAGATTTGTTGCTAAGGTCTTTTTTTGAAAGAAAGCTGAGGGGCTTCAGAGCAGGAAGACACTTTGGATGCTGGAAGTCAGAAGGACCAATGAACTGAACTGAAATTCTTTTGTATCAGCAGTAGCTATTAACAGCTAACAACAGTAGTCTAAAAAAATCATGAAGTTGCCTTTTGAGGCGTATTTTTCTAAAACAAAAGGCATGGGGAAACTGCTCTGTGGTACTCTGACACTGCATTACCACCATCAACCAGAGGGGGTGCTGAAACACCCTCACCAACCCTGCTTTCAATGCTACTGCTTAGGGGGCCTGACAATTAACGAAATCTAGTGGCTCCAGAAAGCACAGTGACGCCATAGTCAAGCATCTGCTCCACCTCCTGGTCACAGTGGGGTGGTTACTGCTGTTTCTGCAATGCAGAGAACAGATCATCACCCGCTTGTGACTGTTTCATCCTGAGAAGGTCACCGTGATTCAATATGGCACTGCTCCATTAATAGTCATCATGTTTGAACATATAGCAGTGAAAGCTTAGGCTAAGGCTCTGTTCCATCACCTCCAGGCCTCTGAATTGCACATGAATTAAATGTGCAATTGTACATGCTAATGTCCAAGTGGTCCATAGATAGCTACTATGAACTTCAATGTCAATGTTAAGGTCTGACCGCATTACTGCTTCTATAGGCCTGGTGATGGTGGGGGTGATCATCGGGTCCAGGAAGGTGGGCGTCAACCCAGACAATGTGGCCACTCCCATCGCCGCCAGCCTGGGTGACCTCATCACGCTGTCTTTGCTGGCCGGCGTCAGCAGCGCTCTCTTCCGCTGCAGAGGTGAGCCGTTGGGCGCCATTGACTGACACATCGTAGCTGAGGAGTTAGGTAGTTAAATTTGTGCCTACATGAAAATGTAGAGAAAAAATGAGAACCAAAGGGTCTCTGGGACATGTTAGAAATCTCTGCTGAAAGCATTAATACGATTAGCAAGAAAATATTTTCTATGCATAAAAATGGATCTTGTTGCATTAGTGTCAGGCATGGATGTAAAATCCATCCATGCTTTTTAGGAATGCGAGGTGTGTGGGAAGGTCATATGGTGGCCTAATGGTTAGGAAAGTGTGCTTGTGATGGAAAGGCTGCCTTGAATCCCTGACTAGCAAGGTGCACCCCACTCCCCCCCCAGCCCCGCACTGCTCCCCGGGTGCTAAAATAGTAGCTGCCCCCTGCTATGTCACAATGTCACATATGAATTAAATGCAGAGGACACATTTCATTGTCATACACTGTGTGCTGTGGTGTGTCAACAATGACAATTTATCATCTTAAACCGTTCATTTCACAATTGTGACTGGTTATACTATTCGGTAATAATATACAGTTTCAACATTTACATGCATTCTTCAGTATTAACGACTCACACAAAACTTTGCATTACATATTAAATGTTAATTTTGAGTGGGGTCCCATTTTAGGGCACTGTATTGTGTCTAGGGACAGAGGAAAATAATTTTAAAATATTATTTGTTCAGACTATTTTTGGTGGTAATTTATCGGTTTATGAAGGAGATTGGCGATAGAGAGTACAGGTATTTCTCGACTTTACGAGCTAATTCGTTCAAAATTATTGCTCGTTAATCAAGAACTTGTAAAGCGGGAGGCATTTTCCCATAGAAATGTTATAAAAATGATGACTTTGGTTCCAGCCAAAAAAAAAAAGAAGAAAAGCCAACAGTGAGTTTACAAAAACACATTATTAGAATTAACATTTGATAAAAAATACATACACATTTAAACAAAAGAAAATCCTTGGAGAAAAACACTTCTTTGCTAAAACTGTAACACTCACAGTCAATTTTGGTCACTTTGACTTTCAGCAGATGGGGTGCCATTCTGAGCTGGTGGACATCACTAAACCTGGTATATTATCAGCATCAGATTGGGTCGTGAAACGAAGTGGTACAAATCAGGCACTGCTGGAAAATATGCCATTAAGTATAATACTGCGCATGCAGATACATGCAAGGTACAAATTGGGCATGCACAGTTAGATATTTCACAAAGCAAACTTATCTGAAAACTTTGTTGGGCTGTGGGCAGCGCCAATTGAGTTACATGCAAATTTAAAAAAAAAAAAAAGAAAAGAAAAATGAAAGTTTCATTTTTGCCGCAGAAAATTCTCATAAAGATATAAACTTGTAAATCGGGAACCCAGAAAGCGAGAACTACTCGTATCGTTTTTTTATTTAAAATGAAATGAAATGCAATATGTATATGTACCAATAGAGGTCAGTAGAGGGCAAAGTAGGTTGAGCTGTTATATCCTCTTGAGACCCAAGGAAAAAAAGTGTCCTTCAATTTTAGGTTATTTGTCTTTGGAGGAATTTAGATTTTTTCAAATTTATTTTTATTTTTAATTTCACAGCATGTCCTCTTTAGTGTACAACAGGAATAAATACGTTCACTTACATCAGTGAAAAGATAGATGCAAAAACAAAATGTCCACTACAATGGACATAAATGAATGGGTGGGGTCTCAGGAGGATATGAGCTCTGGACTTACTGTAAACATCGTGGACACACCATGCTTACGTGTACAAAGAGGACACTGTCTGTGACTATTCATAGAAAAGTGACCATAAGCTTGAATATGTGCGATAAGGACAAAGTCATGTGTTGGTACAGCATGTTAACCTTTGCTGACATGTTCTCTGTCTCCCCATGTTCTGTGTTCCAGAGGCATGGCTCCTGTCACCCTTGGTGTGTGGGCTCTTCCTGGTTCTGATCCCGATTTGGGTCATCCTTGCCCGGCGCAGCCCCCAGACCCGTGAGGTTCTGAGGTCTGGGTGGCAGCCTGTCATTTTGGCCATGTCCATTAGCAGGTACAGTATTGGTTCACCACTGTGTGCCATCAAACCAAAAGGCGTCAAACTCTGCTGCAAAAACCCTAATATTTACACCATGCAAACCAAGCGATTTCGGCAAACCCAAACGGAAAACTCATGATATGGACTTTAGATCACATTCTACCTCTGTGACTTACTGCTTCAGCTGTGACCAATGACCCCATGAATTGTTTCAGCTAAACCAGTATGACGAGTATCTTGGTTAACCAAG